TAACGCCTTCAAGAGACGAGGAAACGACATAATGAATAATAATCCTAAAACAACTAAGATCGATTCCGGAATTGGAGTTATATCAGATGGCTAGACATGGAGTTAAATGAGAAGGATATGGCAATAATAGTAAGACAATAAAAGTCTAATGATTGATTTCAATCGGATGAAGAAGCTTGAATGTATGATTTGCAATTGAAGTGTGATGGTATAGATTATGCATTGTGGGTGTCGGTGGCGATGGCGGCGATAGTTGCTATGCCGGTGTTGCGAAAGAAGAGGAGGTACAGAACATTGGGTGACTCTTTTTCGATTCATCTCCCCTTTTCACCTAGTTTTGATGCTGGTAATTCAGCATACGAATATAGCGGTCTCATGCTTCGTTCTACTTCTTGTACACCTAAGCAGGCTTTTCGTTCATTCGAGGAATAGTTTGACGATGAAAAGCTTCCAGGTCTTGAATTCGATTAAATTGTTCCCACCAATGAAAGCTCACACACAGTCTACTATATTGATGGGACGAGAACAAATCCGTATAGGGTAAACCTTGTGTAGAGCCATCAGTTTCTCCATAAAGAATGCATCAATATGCCCTCAAGCCAAATCGTCTACTGACAATACCAGCCAAGACACCAAATGCCGAACCCCCAAGATGTCCCGCATGGCCGACTCCCGGTTGCCACCCGTTATTAAGGGCCAGAATACTATAGACAGCTCCTCCTCCTACTAAAACCCATGCCGGGATCCCTATGGGTACGAACATGAATTGCCAAGACACGTTGGGATGTTTTACCGCCAACATGGTAATTAGGCCTGATAAACTGCCAGATGCACCGCAACCCCGATCTATAGAATTTACAGAGCTTTTGTTCTGGTTGAATGGAAGACCGTGCTTCCATATGTATAGAGAGGCAAGGGAACATGTAACGCCAGCGCCAGCCCAGATAGTTACGAAGGTGAGAGGGTTGACCAAAGGAGCCATGGCTAGCATACAATACATGTTCGCAAAAAGATGATAATATGTCTGGTGCATGAAGCTGTGGGTGATGAGTGTATGGACTCGTCCCTCATCGATATTCTGCTGAGAAAGGACGAAATTTCTATCGAAATATTCTGGTGTGAGTTTGGGAATGAAACTGGGAAGGGGAAAGTCAACGAATGGAGAACGGTTATAGCTGAGGGTTACAAATGTACATCCTACAGCAATGACAATTGCAAGTGGGTAGCTAGAACGGGGTGTGCGATATTTGATTGTCGGAGTGGGATCGATGGGTTGGTGTTCATTTTGAGTATGTTGTGTATGCTTGTTTTGATGTTTGCTTTTGGCATGTTGCTCTCGCTGTGCCCACTTGGAACCACGTGCTAATGGAGTAGATGAGAAAAAAGGGCGAGAGCCACTTGATGAGATAACCTTCGGTAGAGGTGATTTGCGAACCACCGAATTTGGATTAACGGAGTTGAAGAATGAAGAATGGAAATCTCGAATGTGTATGCAGCCTAGAGGGATTTGACGAAACTACAGGTGGTTAGATATTAGCTTTCGCAGAGCCATGGGTGGACAGGGTTTAACATACTAAAGTTTGTGTAGCTGGTCGTAACGTCGATTTCTGCACATGGAGACCCAATAATCGAGATCCCACGAGAAAGACCATAGTAGAATAAGCAAGCCAACTGCCTGGCCTCTTAAATATCGCCTTATGATGAAGATGTTGTGATAAAGCCGGAAGTTGTTAGCCAATATCAAATAATCCCCACCGTCTGCAAAAACAAGGGGACGTGAGTGATGAGTGGTGGAAGTTTAGCTTTTTCACGTGACACATTTTATGGCTTACTAAGATTATGTACTTGTCGTCTGTGGCTTGACGCCATGCAATCAAAATGTAGGTCTTCCATCTCATCATTTCTTCTGTGTGACAGAAAATCTTCTTCTGTTGTAAATTTGAATTGATTGATGGAAAGAGAAATCTAATTATACGACACACCGCTCATTGCAATCGTAAAATTCATGCCAATTCTTGTTCTAAAGTTCCTGCAAATTAGATGCCGCCTGGCACTTCTGATACACAACTAAGAATTTGATATATTGACCTAGCCCAGCTATGGACTCTCCCGAGAGGTGAATAGACGTTGATGATGCGGGGATACTCTGCAGAATTCTCATTCTTTTACGCCACCATAAACCGTCTAAACTAAAGTCTGACTGTGCTTATGTGGGAAAACTGCCGGGTAAGTAATGTGATGACTTCCAAGGTTAGATGCGTGGCACTTCTGCGATGTAGCCACTGAGACATTTCAACTCCACCATAACTTATTCTGGCGATATAAATACCCAAGATACTACTAACTTTATCAGAAGAAAGAACTTTGCCGAGAGAGACAATCGCACAGCGAGGCTCACTTATTCGGAGGCGGGCTTCATATCCTATACTCGATAATCATCCTCCAAGGATAGGATTGTCAGAAAAAATGCTATTGATTGCGGTGAAATAAGGTTGTGGATGTGTGTCGGCTTCTAGTTGTAGAATCCTATTGTATGGAGTAAGCAATGCAAGTGCTTAGCTTTCGCCAATGAATTCAGGGATATTGAGGGGGAATATTACGCCTCAACAAGTATTATTCGATATCACTCATCAGACTTCAGATGCTTGTATCTGCATAAATGCATTTGCTCATGTAAAACCATCATATAATGTTTTCACTCACTTTGCCAAGAGTGTCTAAAGCTTTGAATTGCCCGAAAGCATCCCATTCTTGAGTCTGGAAGCCGAAGAATCGGCTACTGACCGGAGAGTTTCGAGGTAATTACACTCATAACCGTGTCAGACGAGGAAGGAGAATAAAATACTGAAGTATTAATAGTGTTCAATGGCACTTATAATTGCTCTTGCTATCAAACCCGCTAGGTTTACTCTTTTTTAATATGCATTTTCTTTTTCTTAGAATTCTTTCAGCCTTTATTGTTCTTCAGATATATGTTGATGTAGCTGAAGCAGATTCGTATCCGCCATATGCCCCCGATGCAGTAGATAAACTAGCAGCAAAAGGTCTTGCGAAACTAGCGGCACATCAAGCTATACATCATCCACAAAACACTTGCACGATCAAAAATGCCATAAAGCGTCGTGAATGGTAAGGTGACGATGATGTTCCGTTGCTCCCAGACCTAATCTTTTGCAGGAGCGATCTCTCAGGAGCGGATAGAATTGCATACACAAATGCTGTTCTTTGTTTACAGTCTAAAAAGCCCATCACGCCTTCTGAAGTTGTTCCGGGTGTTCGAAGTCGCTTTGATGACTTCGTTGCTGCGCATATGAATCAGAGCTTTACTATTCATGCTACAGTAGGTACATGCCATATCCTAGTATCCTGTGGTCCGAACTGATGATATAGGGCAATTTTCTGGGCTGGCATAGATATTATGTTCATACGTACGAAAAAGCACTCCGTGAAGAATGTGGATACGAAGGATATCAACCTGTAAGTCTTCAATTCATCTGTCTTCCATCACCCACAATTGGTATTTCACACGTCAAATGTCTCAAACCTTCCTCGATCCTTTAAATTTTCCCACAGCCTATCACTGACGAACGTCAGTATTGGAACTGGGGCAGATACGCCGATGATCCGATACACTCCCCGCTCTTTGACGGGAGTCCCACTAGCATGAGCGGCAATGGATTGTATTACAACCATACTGGTGTTCCTATCAATCTCGCGCCGGCGCCATTCGACATTATCCCGCCTGGTGTCGGTGGTGGATGTGTTACCACAGGCCCGTTCAAGAAGTATAACTCTTTGCTCATATTGTGATATCCATATGCTAAATGTTCTTGTAGTATGACTGTCCACCTTGGCCCAGTCTTTGGAACAATATCCGGCACGCCAGTGAACCCTCAAGCCAACGGCTTCGGTTACAATCCACGATGCCTACGCCGCGATGTCAACGTTCATAGTGCTGCTGTTACGAAAACCAACTATACTTACGATCTTATTACAAAACCTTCAAATGCAGACATATATTGGTTCCAGACTGTCATGCAAGGCTTGTTCAGTATAGGAGAATGGGGCGTTCATACTGGAGGGCATTACACCGTGGGTGGTGATCCGGGTGGTGTAAGTGGATTTCCTCTCTGGGCCCTCCCCTGAAGATCTAAAGTACTAACGATAATACATGTAGGACTTCTTTACATCTCCAGGCGACCCAGCTTTCTATCTTCATCACGGTATGATAGACAGAGTCTGGTGGATATGGCAACTTCAGGATTTAGCAAAGAGACAGAATGCCGTCTCAGGAACGATCACCTTGAGTAACGTCCCTCCTAGTAGAAACACCACCTTGGAGGATCTACAAGATATTGGGTATAATGCGGGCCCTGTGCCGTTGAAAGATTTGATGAACACACTAGGAGGGCTGAATGGAGAATTGTGTTACATTTATGTGTGATTTGAGATAATCAACGTAGGTAAAGAAATAACATCGTGATTTTGATCATTATATCGAGATCACATCTCAAGTACAAGGACTGATACCCCCAAAATGATGTGTTGAAATGTATATTCCGTACAGATACAGGAATTCCATCCATTGACATCGTTGAGTTCATCACTTGGCCGAGTACTGGTAGTACCTGATCGTTCTTTGTGTACAACTCAGTGATGGTGAAACATTCAGGGGCACATGGACTAATCTACAGGGGCTTATCGACGAATTATCTTATCACATGCCATCTCCAAGTGCTTATCAGTCCCTTAGCACGCTTAATTTAGCACTTTACGTAGCTCACCTGCGTGCTATCTGAGCTTGGGGAAGGTTCAAAGGGAAGGGAATCCGCAGCAGCATGCTTCCTTTTCTTTTGTTCCATCGGAGTATATACAATATAAATACAACATAAATACTATACATGTTCGTCTCATAGTAGATTACCATCAAACACATTTTTACCACCCTATTCCTCTCAATCAATCGATCAACGTACAATCATCGACTCAGTCAGTCCAAAATGGCATCCAACACAACTTCTTCCGTCTCTTCCATTCGCAAAGTCATTTCCTTTGCAGGCGGTCTCCTATCACAAATACCAATAATCAATAATCCTTCATCTGCTTCATCGGCCGTCGCAGCTCCTAGACCCTACATACCCTTTGGAAATGCACCGTCATGTCCATCAACCTCTCCTCTCTCCTGCCACAACAGCACCGCCGCTCCCGATTCTTGCTGCTTCGTCTATCCCGGTGGCCAACTTCTCCAGACTCAATTCTGGGATTACAGTCCTGCAATAGGGCCTGTTGACAGTTGGACTCTTCATGGTCTTTGGTTTGTTCACTTGCCATCAACTCTCACATTCTTAAAAGCTTACCAAGTCTCACAGGCCTGATCTCTGCGATGGGTCCTATCCCACATATTGCCATAGTACTCCCCAATACCACAACATAACCTCCATCCTAACCGCCGCATCCCAAACTGATCTTCTCGCATACATGCATGAATATTGGCTCCCCAATCGGGGATCCGCCGAAACCTTTTGGGAACATGAGATGAACAAACATGGAACATGTGTAAATACTCTCGCACCATCTTGCTATGGCGACAAATACGAAGCTGGTGATGAAGTCGTCGATTTCTTTACGAGGGCTGTGGGGCTATTCAAAGAGTTGGATACTTATAAAGCACTCGAGAAGGCGGGAATTGTGCCAAGTTATTCGGCTACTTACACCGAGGATCAGATCCAGGCGGCATTGACTGCGGTTACTGGAAGTGAGGTTGTATTGGGTTGTTCGAATGGTAGATTGAACCAGGCCTGGTATAGCTTTAATGTCAAAGGAAGTTTGCAGTTAGGAGAATTTGTGGCTACGGCTCCAGCTGGAAAAGGTGGGAGAGGAACTTGTCCTAGAAAGGGGATCAAATACTTGCCCAAGAAGAAATAATCGCGCTTCTGTATAACAGATTGATGCGGGCTAAATTGCTGCATTTGTATATCTAGGAAACCCCTAGGATTCGGTTGGGTTTTTGGATTTTATAAGATGATTTCTCAGGATAGGGAATCGTATGGCATTGCATCGGATGGTATGTACTCTTAGGGTTTTAGATGTGGAATTGAAGGTACCTTATGGAAGTCTCAACGACTTCCCCCAAATCACTTGTTTTGTCTGGTGATCTGATGACCCGACGGTGAATAAAATCCTTCATTTTTTGCACCCTGACACGTTCACTCGGAACAAAATAGTCTCGGTATTGATCAATTCGGATACCATACAAGCATTATTGATTGGTTCCCGGGTATCTTGAAAGAGACCTAGCCAATACTCTTATGCTGGCTTCGTCATTTGCATATGCATGGGTTATTTCGTTGTCACACACATGCAGGGAGTTTCTGAATGGTCCAATAGTATCGGACGTATTTATTAGTTGAAGATTTTATCACCCCGGTCTCCGCAACGGTCTGTCAATCATGGTGATTATGCTATTTCATCCCAACCCTTGGGTCCTCCACTTTCCCAATGGAAAGAAAAACGGGTATCTGACAGGCCAAGATGGTGGGTATCTGCAGATTCCCATCTGCTTGGTCCTTATATTTATGTCTTCATCGAATCCTCTGTTTTGGTGAAGCATTGTGTTCGTGTATATCCTCGAGGGAGTCAATCTCAAAATTTATGGATATAATGTTGATTCCAATCATTGCTGTCTTGTTATCCTACATGGTATATGGAATAATATGGCGTCTATACTTCAGTCCAATTGCCAAGTTCCCCGGACCAAAGTTGGCTGCTATTTCCATGCTTTATGAAATATATCATGAGATTTTCTTGGGGGGAAAGTATACCTTCAAAATTAAGGAGTTACATGAGAAATATGGTAAGTCCTTTGATCCAATTGTTTAACATGAGCTTGATACTTCTCAAATAGGACCCATAATACGTATAAATCCCTGGGAGCTTCATATCAGTGATCCAGACTATTACGATGAATTGTATGCCGCTGGTGGGAAGAGACGTGATAAATATCCTTACTATACCAAGCAATTTGGTAATTCCGAATCGATGATTGGCACTGTCTCACACGATCACCACCGTCTTCGTCGAGGAGCCATGAACCGTTATTTTTCCAAAGCCAGTGTGTTCCGCCTCGAGCCCATGATTCAGAAATATGTAGATTTGCTTGTTCGTCGGCTCCGTTCGTACAAAGACACTAAGAAGCCGGTTAATCTCTCGTGGGCCTTTTCGTGTTTTACTTTTGATGTCATTTCGGAATACGCGTTGGGAAATACAGATAGTTCCATTGAGAATTCTGACGATTTTCATACGGATTTTCACGATGCGATTGAAAATATTGGCAACATATCACATGTTACAAAGGTGTTCCCCTGGATTTTCACGTTGATGCAGTGTATGCCATTGTCGTTGATAAGGTTTCTTGATCCGAAGACTGTTAGTGTTGTGGAATTTCAAATGGTGAGCATGTAGTTGACTATTTTTCTAACATTGAAGGTATTGACTAAATTCTAGGGAATGAAAGCTCAAATTGGTGCTATCATCAATGGAAAGAACGCTAATCATGAACGTTCCTCCCAGCTGACAATCTTCCATGAAATTCTCTCCAGTGATCTTCCCCCAAACGAGAAATCAGTAGCTCGTCTCTGGCAAGAAGGACAAACAGTCATAGGAGCCGGTACTGAAACAACAGCTTGGACCTTATCTGTTATTGCCTACCACGTCCTCGCTAACCCTGATATTCTATCGAAGCTTCTTGCCGAGTTGGAGGGAAAGAATGGATTAAAGGAATTAGAACAGTTGCCTTATTTGACAGCTGTGATACAAGAGGGGCTGAGATTGAGTTTTGGAGTCGTGGCACATTTGCAAAGGATATCTCCGGATCAAGTATTGAAGTTTCATGAGTGGGAAATTCCCTCTGGTGTATGTTTTTCTCCTGATTCACTTTTTCTTTCATTTTTTTCTCCCCCTAGAATTTTGGCTCAAATCACACTTCTGCAATGGAAGAAGTTTCGATTCTTGAATATATGATTGGAAGATTCAAATCATTTGAGATATCGTGAAAGTTCACATCAACCCCATCAATCCAAATTGTCATCCTTACCTTCCCTCCATTCCATCACTCCGCCAAAGTTAACACCACTTCAGACCCCTGTATCCATGTCCTCCTACCTTCAACATCTCGACCCACACATATTTCCCTCTCCCAACACATTCTCACCAGACCGCTTCCTCGAAAACCCATCTCTATCAAAGTACATCGTAAGTTTCAGCAAAGGATCGCGTCAATGTTTGGGTATCAATTTAGCATGGGCAGAGCTGTATTTGTGTGTCAAGGGTGTTATTGGAGAGTTGAATTGTGGAGATGGGAGTTTGACGTTGTATGATACGAACGTAGGGGATGTGGAGTGTACCAGTGATTATTTTGTGCCGGCGAGTAGTGGGAGGGGAGTGAGGGTTTTGGTTGGGTAGCTGCACCACCATATAACACCTACGAACAAATGGTATTATATACCTAGTCTAGAAAACACATCCTTTGCGAGATATTAAAATCTTCCCTCGGAACCTTTGACGTTCGACGATGACTGTATCATGGGCAGGAGTACATATAATTTTGTTTATCTAACTATACTGGTGGGAATAATTTGTAACTATTTAACACGATGAAAGTAAAATAGAAACTGAACTGGTGATCAAATAATGGTATCCATTTCGATCTCCCCGCTCTCTTTCACTCCCTCCAACGTTCCCTCTTCCAATACCCGCTTACTCCTTACTCCTCTCCAACTTTTCAACACCTAAGCTCTTCTCTTAAATTCGAGCTGCGCCACCGGATTCGGATGAATTAAATTACCAAGAACAATATTTCCTGGTCTCTCACCTCCCTTCGTCTCTGTATCCCCAATATTTCTAGAGTCCTAATTTCTCAACAATTCCACTACAACTACCTTAAGTTCAACCCCTGCAAAGAAACGACCTGAAAATGTGTGGTTACCTACTTGGGTGTTAGTTATTGATACTAAGGGAGATTCTCTGTCTCCAAGACTGGATGCAGGTGAAGTTGACAGGAGATAGAGAACACATGCCATGTCCGAAATTCATAGAGTCCTTACTCGTTGTCACATACTGGTATTTGGATTGATTTCCCGGAGTCTTATGTAGTGAAGAAAAGCAGAAGGGAGAGAAAACATTGGGAGAATCGAGTTTGGGCATAGTAGAAGGATCGTGGGGAAGCAAAGAGATATTGGGGCTTGCCAAGTCGATTGCATGGGAACCGTATCCCACGCTTGTTCCTTTCGGGATAGTGTGGCCGGTAGAAAGGTGAAGGGGAGCGGTTGTTACGCGGAGGCTTGCGGCTGGTATTTGTTAGTTTGTTTTCTTTTGTATACTATATTATACCTCGATGCAGATTGGAAGAAATAATGTTCAACGTACTCATACTAGGGGGATTCAGCCTCTGACTCTTTTTCAAAAGACTATCCAATTTCTTCAGTTTCGTCAATGACTGTTTTTTAAACATTCCTTTCCGCTGCCATAAATTTCAAATCCATCTTCTGCGATCACCTGTTCGATTCCTTCGCGGAGAGGTGCGATAGATTCCAGATGGGAAGCGAGATTTAAAAGACATAACAAATAGCCGAACTTGTTGTGTGAATTGAAGCGAATGATAGAGTCAATTGGTTTACAGCCAAGTTGTAAGGATTCTCTCTAAGCTCCGGACTTGTGTGCTTCATCATCCAAATAACAAATGCTCCCTGGTCGTCTTCAAATTCATCACCCGATTCTCCGCCCAGTCCTTGTCCCTCTCTAAACCTCCGAATACATCCATCAATAAGCGGTTTCAACAAATCTGCTGCCCTATTCATATGCGATTGAACTTTCTTAATTTCTGGCAGGAATAGTGCTACAAAATATCTTGTCCATGCCGGCCATTCAACCACAGTATTCTTCGCTTTTATACAATCTGTTGTATAATTAATATTGGTCTGAAGCCATTCTTCATTTCAACTAAGAAGTTTTCTCATAAAGACTCTCCCACTAATTGGTACTACAATCCTCAATATTTTCTGAAGCAAAACCATTTTAGTTCAAAACTCGGACACACCAAATTCTATATCTGATATACAATACAGGTCATCTTAGAGAGGACCTGTAGTTGATACAACATAACATATTAAATCAGTTTTGACAATTTTGACAACAACAGATGCATCCCTACAAAAGATATGAGCCGTATAGAAAATGCATTCAATTTCCTTCTCAAAGGATGTATTTTCTTTAGGGAAGAGACGGATTTCATCGTTAGTGCAATGTGGTAGGACAACCATAGGAGGATCGCTAGGAAGGGTGAATGGAGTGTTAGGGTACTAATTTGTGAGTTAGAATACTGGGATACTAATGGAGGATCAGCTGAAGGAGATCTTTCTACTCTCGCTGCTCCTTCACGTAATGCCTCTTGCCAATCGACAGAACCTGGTTTTCCCACGATTGGAAAATCTAACTTTTGGGGTCGAGAAAGTATGGTTCTAATGAAATAGGCTAGAATAACCAATGCCGAAGCACCTAAGAATAATAGTGACATAGCCATGGGTTTGCTTTCATCGAGGAGTGCTGGCGACATCTTGAAAGATATTCATATAGCTCAACTCTGAACTTTGGTCGATAAGAAAGTGCAAAGACAATTCCAATAAATTGAGATGAAAGTAACGGCTGTATGTCCAGCAGTCGATGTAAAATGTGGCTGTATATCCTTAACTCCAATAACTCGTATATCTTCAGTAGTTGTAACCCCCAAAACTGAAACCTAAGACTGAAATCAAATACCTGATGCTCATCCCAAGCTTTCTATTTACCAAACAAAGGCCATGGAAACAAGGATATATAAAAATTGAAGGATTCAAAATTCATGTCCTTTATGAGAGCACAGAAGACGTATATACTCGAGTATATTCTTCCCATCTCAACCCTTTCCTGCCCTCTTTCTATCTCCCTCCATTGAAAAATTAATCAAACTCAGCAATCGACAAGCAAGAGGTAATACCCACCTGCCATACATATCCCCAGTCAAGCTGTCATTCAACCTCACATAGACGAATAAAAACAACCGCGTCCATTTCAACCCACATCTCCCGCTCCATCCAGCACTCAAGCCGTTAATCCTCTCTTCCCTGAAACTCCCGACCTACAAAATCGTCATCATCAAATAACCTTCTCTATTTGCTGATAACAAGCACACAATTCTGCTAATAGCAGTTCGGGTGGATGTTTATGCGCAAACAATGGAGAAGGACATAAGCTTATTCATTCGACATTTGAATCTTCATCGGACTGCCAAGAGTTCTTGCAGATCACACATCGTTCGAGTATAAGTCATCGCGTCCCTTGCAACTATTTTTCGGCATTGGAGTTACCTAGTCACTGCCAGGAGCCGCATAGCTTGCAAATGCCATGCATTCACTGTTGTGTCTGGTCTTATCATGTGAAGAGTTGATTTCACGGACAATATAAATGTTCAGCCGAAGAATTTGTTGCATTGTCCAATTGAAAAGTGTGTCATGGGAGACAACATAGGCCTCTTCCAAAAAGCAAACTTCGAAGCTTTTGGGAATCTTCGAATTACCGATCAAGCAAAAGGTTGTAGAAAAAAGTGCCGAGATATTGCAGAAAAGCGGGGCATATACCTCCCCCTCCAAAACCTAATAATGCTTGTCAAAAGATCTCTCTCTCCTCGTACCTCGGAGAAGGCATTTTCAACCTAAGATATGTTTGAAACTAATCATCTGATATATGCAGCACACATACTGTTGATATACTGTTGATATACCAATGATGTACCGTTAATTCACCGTCGATATACCTTCGATGCACCGTTAATGTACGTACACGATAACGAGGGGAATCGGAAGCATGGGATCGCGATTGATTCTTCATCGCAACGATGTCTAAGATTAAAGTTTGGATCGTTGTACAGCGGGGGCGTCCCCTAGTTCATCAATGACACCTTCCTAGGTATGATCTGATATTGGATTTCACAAAGGTTTTGTGTGAGCTTTCCATGCATAGTTTGCTTGTTTACTAGATGGGCTTTTGCTCTCATGACGAGCATGGAATCGTAAGCGAAAGGGTAGTTTCATGTACGGAGTACAGTAAAATGTCTCTATAGGGATACTGTGTGTGGTCTTTCTAATTAAAGTTTATAGGGAGACATCTTTGTAGAGAGTTTATCTTTATAGAGAGATTTCGCTGTACATGAAAGTATTCTTATCCTTGTTCGGCTATTGGAGAAAAAGAACCAGTTCCGTATCCGATACATATCCTCTTCAATGCCTCCCATGGAGTTATAGAATAAGGTTACAGCTTGTTTATGTAACACAAATATGAAGATCTTAAAGCTGTGGCATACAACGTAGATACATACATGTAGCTATCCATTCACTGAAGCAGTAACCCGATATGTGAGTTAATGAGTCGAATAACTCAGGATTGCTCAAGGCCACAAATCAGGGACGAACGCAACCTCGTTTAAAAACATCTACCCCCTACCACCCCCCAGCCTCAACTTCCCCCCTCGGACCCCCCCCCCCCCCCCAGTCCCGAGTATCCGCTGCAAGTCCAAATCTGACTACAGAGCGCACCTTCCCTCTTTTCCTCCTGTTCTTCCAAGATACTTTTCCTTCCCGTCCTCAATAAAGTTAAACTACCGGAACTCTAGAGCCCAAACTAAGGCTTGAATCAACATCAATTATCCGTGTTTAAATTCTCATAGATGCTCTTCTTCTACATAATATTATGTCATGCCAATGCCCATACCCCATCGCCCACCCATTCACCCCTCCATCTATACCCCCACACATGGCGACCTCGCTACGAAACAAAGAAACCACTTCAACGCACTCCCCAGAAGACGAGGTATATATACATCTCTCTCTTCAAGCCATCCATCCACCTACCATCCGTCGTATTCATCCACCTCACATCCCACACACGACCTCGCTCGCACCAAGACAAGAAAAATGACTTCACTCCACCTCACCTCATCTCACATCCCAACTAACAACTATATATACCCCTCCAATCCCTCCACCCAACCAACCATCTAATACCTACTTACACCCATCCTTCCCTCCCCCTCCCTCCAAACAACACCTCCTCAAACAAGACACCAAAACATTCAAGAAGCAGACAAAGAGGGGTATCTACCCATCTACCCATCTACCCTCCCACCTAGCTACCTAGTCCGTACCCATACAAGGATATTTTCCATGATATTACATTACCCCGCATATATACAAAGGTACAAAGATACGAAGATACAAAAAATTCAAGATACACGTATAAATATATATACGGACTCCCTACCGAGGTAGGTAGGCAAGAAAATGCGATTGCATCTCTCGCAAACAGAAATACAAATACAGATACAACAAACGCCCGCGTACACCAACGCATAAGATGCCATTTTGATCTCATCATCATCTAGCTACCCACCTGCACAGCTTCTACTTCATACTTTTCAACCTCCTGCGATCAACCTCCTGCGATCAACCTCCTGCGATCAACCTCCTGCGATAAAACCCCGGTATCTGAATCGTATCACATCACATCATTTGAACATCTCGACAATGCACAATAAACAGATATCTTCGAAGACGAGGTTTCATTTAGCATAGATGAGTATGTGTTGCATGGATTGTATGGATGAAAACTTTCGTACTTGATATGTAGATAAATAAGTGCAAGTATACCTATCTACCCGATACATACCCAGTGCGAAATACAATTCATCATCTACTGCCTGTTTGAAATCAATCAATTAACCCATGCCACGCCACGCTACGCTACTCCACTTCACACCACACCACACCAAACATACTCCCCTATAAATCCCATGCGTGAAATATAGACTATGCTCCAGCCTACAACTCTTTGCTCAATCATGTAACCGAGCCGAACCAAAGCTCAGAGCGCCCCTTAAAAACAAAAAAAAGACAATGCCGCCCCATTTCCCATACCATGCTTATGATCATCTATCCTCATTCGTCATGTTACAATGACGTAGAAATCGATGATCCATCCGTGAAACGCCAAAAGATATGCAATTGTAAAGAGTACACACATAAATACACCACGAGTCCCATTTCCCCTACGTTGTATGCTCCCATCGCCCAGTATGCTTGTTTCCTAGTTCTTGCACCAGGTTCTTGAGTTTCCCTGAATGGTAGATCCTAATTCTTCTGATTTTCTCCCTCTGCCTCCATCAAATCATCCATCATCATCCTTTCACTCATACTCTTTGGGGTTCCGGAAAAACTACCCACTCCTCCACTTGCTCTATAACTCAAGACATCGCTTGCGTCAAGTCCACTGCGACCATTGACACTTCCAACAAATGAATTCATAGCACCCATTGACGCGGCACTGGCATGTACTGCATCATTGACAACTGGCATGCTGAATGGACGACCTTTGTAAGAGCCAACGATTCCATGTGCAGGAGCAGGAGCTGGTGTTACTTTCTTGTTACTGAAATCATTAGGAATTGGACGAGCAGGAGATTTAGAAAGTTCGACATTGTCAGGGCTTTCTTCGATACTTGGCGAAGTAGGTTCTTCTATATCCGATTCATCTTCATCATCCTGAGGACGGCTTCCAAGACTTGGATTTTCATCAAAGGAGAATAAATCCTCTTGTTCATCATCCTGAAAGGTCAAGCTGGCTGGTTTCTCATCACCCTTTCCTCTAGGTTCCATAGTCTCGAGTGTAAGTGGTTTGCTTGGCGATTTCACCTGCAAAGGAGAAATTGCTGGTTCTGGATTCTCATTCTTTTTCGGCGATAGAATGCTCGCAGGTTGTTTGTTATAATTTCTCATTTGTCGCAAAGACGGCATATCCAACATATCATCATCCGATGGAACATCTGCATCGTCCTCCGGTAGAGCCTCTATATGTTTCACTTGAGCTTGTGGTTCGGGTTGTGGTATTTTTATTGGTATGGAGACTGGTGGGATATTTTCGTCTCGAGGTGTAATAGGAGTTGGTCTAGAATCGAAGTAATTGGTAGTATAACCATCATCTTCCAAAGTATCAACCGAAGCCGATCCATCTGGCGGAGCAACGACGGTGGTCCATTGCGTTCCATCATCCTCTAAAGGACCTCTCGATAGGGCTCGTAATGCCTGTGAGGAAGATATTCTTTTTGGTGGTGGCGCATCGATATCCTCGACCATTTCCGAACCAGCCTCATCATCTGAATCATCTGAGAAGGAAGGTGGAAGCAATGGCTCCAATTCTTTGGGCGACGCTGTTGGCAAGACCTCTTCTCCCTCCACATCAAAACGAACCCTTCGAGGACTTGTATTCTTTGAACTAGTAGATGTTCTTCGTAAAGCGCTTCTGCGACGTGGTCCATCACTACTACTATTGGATGCGATTGAAATTTCATCGGTATTTTTTCGTTTGGGTATCGAAGGACTTCTGGGATCTGGAGAAGCATTCAAAGATCTAGTATCTGTACTCGCATCAACAAGCGGCTGTGACTGTGACTGTGATTGCGATGAGGTATCCATTTGTATATCTTTTGACTTGTTATTGAGATCAGTATTCGAATTCGATTTTCGTTCG